TCTTTTTAATGTAATATTATGTAAATCATAAAGACATTATCATTTAGATTGAGAACTTGGCAAATTTATCTAACTCTCATGATTGGGTCTCTATATCTCACATGAGGATAAAAGTATAATCCTATAAGAGAGCTGAAATAGGAAATCGGTTACTTATTATTATGAAATTCTCTAGCAAACAAAAATCTTTTATAGATATATAGAATTCATGCAAACAGAGCAGGCTAGTCTGCTTATCTTTCTTGCATATACAGTCAACTCTTAATATAGCGAACTCTTGATATAATGAATTTTTTAAACAAATATAATAAAAATACTTTTATTATAATGAATTGGCCAATTAAATCTCTTAAAATCTTCACTATAACCTTATAGCGAAGTTAAAGTCTAAGATATAGAGTTTGTTATAACAAGAGTTGACTGTATATTTATTTAATATAGACTATCCAAAAAGTTAGATTCTGTTTTCTCGAATCACCTTTTGGTAGAATGAGTATAGATCATCTGAAGCAGTTTTGAAATTATTTTCTTGGATAGCTTAGATAGCTTTCTTTCTTCCCCTAGTACTATTTGTATAAATTCATAAATATGTTTTTTTTTCTATATAGTATTCATGGAAAGGAATGCTTTAATATGCTCTATTTTATATGATTTCACAATGCTAGAGAGAATTTTGCTCACTTTTTTTTCACATTTATCTAAAGTCTTTCCATCTGGTATGAGAATGTCAAAGAAAATCTGAATTTTTATAAGAGTTACCAGTGCTTTTTAGCCATTAATAATGTGATCATAAAGACATAATATATAGTAGTACATTTTTTTTTATCTTTTCTGATAACCCTTCATTATCAATAGCCATAAATGAAATTTTTTCACAACTGGATAGAGCATTGTTAAGAATTGTGATTAATTCTTTATCATTTTCTGCAATTATAATATCTAGAATTGTGATGCTTAACAAGTATTTTTCACCAGAATAGCGAATTACCTGACCTTTCATTTTATTTTTTTCAGCCTCTAGGTGAAAAAATGAGGCAGAGTTATTGAGAAAGTTTGAAAGCTTGTGTTAGATCATTTTTTTCTCAAACAATTTATAGCTATATCAAAATTTGAGATATATTATTCATAAGAAAAAAGTTTAAAATAAAAATAATTCCCCAACATTATTAATAAATATATACAAATAGAAGGCAAAAAAAAGGAGACACAATCCCAGAAGGATTCATTCTGAAATTTTTATTATTGTTTATATATTCTTAGAATTGGAGAAGTGTGTAATCAGAGATATTATAATCCAAAGGGATGTAAAGTCTATCAGAATTTTAGTCAAGTTTCTTGTAAAGAATACAATAAGCTGATAAGATTCAGATATGATTATTACAATACATATGCATAAAAATATAGATTAAGAAAACATTATCATTGGAAAAAGCTGGCTAAGCAAGTTAAGAATATGTTCCAATAAATTGTTCTAGAAATTCCATCCTAGTTTCCATTTTAGTTGTCCTAATTGTCCTAGTAAATTTCAGATTTCTTTACTTTTTTTTTATTTTTTTACTTATAGATATGTTAGTATATATCTATATAGCATACAAATAGTATACATACTATATATTATACATATACTATAGGAAGGATTATGATTTCTTTTCTAAAATTTTTATTTTTACTAGGATAACTAGAACAACTAGAACAACTAAGACGTAATATAAAAGAATAAGTTAAAATTAAAGAATAACTTAGATAACTAAGACAGATCATGTTTTCGCACTTTGTGATAAATATGAAATCATATTTTTATAGCATACATATATTACATATATAGTATATATATGTATTATAGGATAAGTTTTGATTTTTTTTCTAAAACTACTTTTACTAAGGATATTAAGAATGCTCAAAAATTAGCATACTCATTGCTTCAATCTAGATTAAATTATAATCAGGCCTCAGAAGTACTTATAACATCTTGCTAATATACCAGCAACAAATAAGTAGTCAAAAAGTAGAATATAATTCAGTATTCAAGCTAGCCTGAAACTGACGAACTAATAGAAATACTCTAATTTCCTTATAGTTTTATGATAGTTCCAAAATACTATCAAGACACCATTATGATGCCAAACTGGATCTTCAAATCACATGCCTAAAAGATCAGCTAAAATTAATCGTAGATCTACTACGCCATCTGATATAATATTTTTTTATTATAATTTAGAATCTAGAAAAGCAACCAAATAAGCATAAAGAAAAAGTATTTCAATATAGAATCCAGCATTCAACCAGATGTAGGAGGTCAGCATTCTCAACATAAAATTAGATATCTAAACAGTTACAGAGGGTCAACAATCTTATTATAGAATTTAGCATGTAAATGATTTAGAAATAAGAAAAAAGTGTGATATTTTGATTATATGCGTGTGATAATTAGATTATATTGTGGTAATAAAAATATATTAGTATAAAAAACATGAATATCAAGAAAGACTTAAAAACATAACTAGAATGTAAAAGTGATATAAGAAATAATAAATATTAGATTATATGTTGTATTCAAACTGTATTATTTAGATTATATACGGTAATTAGATCATATCATTTAGATCATATGCGGTATTCAAATTATATGAGATATTTAGATCATATGTGATATTTAGATTATATGTGATATTCAGATTATATGCGATATTATAATTTAGACTAAGTGGAATACCACATATAATATAATCATATTACATGTGATATCCTACTGATCAGATTTTTACTTTAACTTCTAAAAATAAAAATCTTTATTTTATTCTAGACATTTATATCATTTATTATATATATATTTATTTATACTATTATAATTTTTATTATATAATTTAACAATATATTTATTTTATATATAATTATTATAGTTATAAAATTCCTTATATATTTTATATAATTATTATATTTTTATAATTTCTTATATATTTGTTATATTAAAATTTATAAATAATTTCTTATATAATATATAGAATTATAATATAAAATTTAGAAAAACATATTAATATATATATATAATGTATAATTTTTATTTATAAATTTCTTATAAAACTAAAGATTTTTATTTTGTTAAAGTAGTTTTAGCTTTTATAAAATTGAAACATTAACTAATTTTTATTAATCTTTTGAAATTTAATAAAAAGTAAAATAATTAGTAAGTATTTATACTTTATATCTTAAAATTCTAGAAAAACTTATAAAAAAACTTATATCTGCTTTAAAGATTACCAATTTTATTAAAAACTAAAAATATATATTATATAGTAAATATGAAAAATTTATAATTTCTACTTATAACTAATACTTTTTAAATATTATGTAATTCAATATTATAAAAGGTTTTGAACTAAGGTCTGTCTTTTGATTAAATCTGTAAAACAAATAGATTAATCTATTTTTTAAATATTTATAAGAAATAAAGATTTTTCTTTTTTTGAAGATACATAATATAAGAAAAATTTAATTTTAATTAATTTTTGTAATTAGATTTTATTACAATTATTTTAATACTATATAATTAATTTTTATTTTTTATTAAACTTTTTTTACAAAATGGTAGATTTTGAAAGAAAAATAATTAAAACTTATTTTCATTAAATTTTTTATAAATGATATATATTTTAATAAATAAACTTCTATAAAAAACAAAAGAATTAAGATAATTTTTAATAAGCTTATGAAATAATATGCTATTTAATAATGAATTTACATAAAGTAGTTTTTATTAAAAAACTTAAAATAATTTTTGTTAGATTTATTTTGTTAGATTTATATGATTGATATGTTATATTAATAAATTAAAACTTGCTAAAGTTATTTTAAAATATTATTTTTATAAGTATAATAAAAAATCACTATAAAAATAAGAATCCAAAGTATTCTAAAACTGTTTTAAATATATTAATTTTGTTAGACTTATTTAAGAGAATTAGTTTTGATATGCTAAATAATAAACTGGTAAACTGTTTATTATTTCAGATATATTTATATGTTAGACTTATTAAATATAACAAAAATATACTATAGAAACTAAGTATCCAGAATAATTAAAAACAGTTCTAGTATTGTAAAAATACCAGTATAATTATTAGTTGATTATATTAATATATATATATATATTAACATAAATTTTTTATTTATATATCATTTAATATTTTAAATTGATATGCTAAATTTCTATTATACAAACAATTATAAAAATATAAATAATATTTAGTTTTATTAAATAAATATCTATTAAAGGTTTATATATTCTTTTTTTAAAATTTTACTTTAACTCAAATTATTAATTAAAAATTACTTTAGATTCTTTATTATTAATTTAATGATCAATTTTTTTATAATAAATATACAATTAAGATAAAATTATTATTATTCTTTATAATATTATATGAGATTCTTAAATTTTTAGTTACATATTTATTAATTAAAAATGGTTTTTGGAATTATGATGAATTCAAGAAATTATTATCAATTTCATTTTACTCGTCACCATATACTTTATAATTTAAGTCATTCAAAATTTATATCCGCCCAATTTGACTTGTTAACCTTTTAAAGTAAAGGTGGCTTTAACCGTTACTTAATTTTTATACTCCAAGGAAATCATTGATAACAGATATGAAACGTTTTGATAAAAACTTAAATTTGGAAAATTTGAAAAAAAATCTATTAGTTAGATATTAAAGTATTTTGTTTTTGTTCGATTTATTCATTTAAATATTTGTATCATCTAAAACTGTACACATACTGTTACACAAACTATAAAAACATAAAAATAAGAGGGGTTTTGTACGTTATATGTTGTAATTAATTATTATAATTATATAATTAAAATATTATAAATTACGATTTACGAGGACTAAAAAAAAAAAAAAAAAAAAAAAAAAAAAAAAAAAAAAAAAAAATTTTTATCAGTATAAATTAACAAATATTAAGAGAAAATATCGATTTTTAACTTACAATAATGCTTAGACATTAAAAGATCCATCATCCAAACTCTTGAAAAATGGTCTTGACTTTTCTAAAGCGACGAGGTAACGATGAGACAAATGATTGTGGATGAAACTGGGCAACCATTTTTCATAAGAATATAAAGTAACGTTATCATATCTAGGATCCACATACGATTTTTTTCTAGGTTTGTGATCGAAGGGATCATAAAAACCGAACAAACTTTTCCAATTATAGTCTAAACCTTTTTCAATAAAATAGAAATCTTTATCATCATCGAACAGGTTACGCATGGAATTAGGTTTACTACCGTCTTGATAAAATCTTGCTTCATCCCCAATATGAAAATAATTCAAGATATGAACTTTACTGGTAAATCTCCGTAACCTTGGATGATGATGACCTGGAGGAACGCGTGGTACTATATCATTGTCGCAAACAATTCTCCACATTGTTTTATATTCGCTAGGTGATCGATTAGATAATGATGAAAATTCGGCCGCGAAATCACTATCCCCAATTGACGGGCTAGCAAAAGTTGTGCCATCTCTTATTATACAATGTTCATTTAAGCTTTGAGGAGATTTTAATAACCTTGAATAAAAGATAGTTGCCAAGGCTCCTCCTAAAGAATGTCCGGTAATCCAAACCGAAACTTTTGAAGTATCTTCAAATGCCATATCATTGTCCTTTGCGTTTCGTTCTCGAATTTTTTCGGCTCTTTTATGAACGGCTTCAATAATTCTTGTTGCCGGGCATCTTCTATCAAGTCTTGCTGAATCGTATTCATCAATAGGGAATAGGGAACTGTAAAATCCTTCATGGATCTCTCCAAACAAATAAGACCTTGCATCCGTACGCTGAAAGGTAAAGTTTAACAACCAATCACTAAAGTTCGTGGGAGTTGTTCCTAAAAAAAAAAAAAAAAAAAAAAAAAGAAGAAAGAAAAGAGATTAGGCGAATTAATAATTTATTACGATATCTTAATAAAAAAAAAGGGGGGGGGGGGGCTAATGGCTTGATTTGTTACCTTGGAAACCGACGACGATGAAATTCCTTTTTTCAGACCAAAACATCCCAGCGTATGGACCTCCGACAGAATTCAATTCGGAAATTGAAGTAAATTCAATATCCAATTCATCTAATTGTTTACATATATTCGCTTCACTTTCCATTAGAACTTTGAAAATTTTTTTCACATTTTCATTATTTATGTCATCAGGTTCTTTTTTTAAAACATCTTTCATATTGTGCAACATAGCGAAAGCCTCTTTAACCTTTCCCTCATCCCTTTCGGATAACATATTTAAGAGGAATAATAATGTCTGTGCTTTGTCCAAGTCAAATTTTTTTCTATGTTTACATTGATCCAGCGGGGATACATCGAGAGCATCTATTCCTCGTTGAATATTTTCCCCTACATGAAAAAGGAAAGGATGCAGTTAATCTTTTGATTGTCTTTTTTTTCACGCAGTTAAATCATCATCTCGCCTAAAGGGCGACACCTACGTAATGATGGTATCAATTTCGACCAATTTTTAAGCAAGGGTTCATTAACCGAAGGTTTGGTCACATAAGACACGAACCTTAAGATACATTCAAGAAAGAATAAAACAACAGTAGCTAAGGGAAAGAACACGAACATCAACATGAAATTAATGGGATGTGAGAAAATAGTAGTCCAATCAAATAATATCGTGAGGAACAAATGTTCTACGACTCGACCAAAATAAATCAAATAAGTAATGGAAGGATAGATAAGAGGAACATTTTGAATTTTTTGAGGCAAACTTCTTTTAGGCGTGGCGTCTAAATCCACCAAATGAGTGCGATATTCAAAGGATGATTTAATGATAAAGGATGCGTCATGTTTGTCGTTGCTTGATGATATCTCAACATGATGGTTATCAAAAGTTTGTTCAACTTCCGTTCTGTCCTCTGGAGGCATTTGACCTTTTTTTTTTTTTTTTTTTGAGTACGTGAATTAATATCAGTAGATTATTTAAAGAACAAAAGAACCAAAAAATAAATAAATTTAATCGTTATTCGTAAAAAAAAAAAAAATTTTAAAAATGTAAAAAATGAAGGGTTGCGTGATATATATTTATATTTATTTATTATTTATTCCCGCAACAATTAAATGAAAAAATTTTTTTTCCCTTAATTTTAAAATTTATATTTGATTAAAAAACGTTAATGGAATTCCGGAGCTGATTTCCGATTTATTGATTCTTTCCTAGATTTAGTTATCCCTTTCTGTTTATTTATTTTACGTTTCAATAAAAGATTATAAATTAAAGAATCCCCTTTTGTCTTTCGCCTAACCTAATTCTTCTGGAATGTCCCTTTAATAGTTTTCATAAGGATTTGGTCGAGAGTTTTTTTTTTGCATTTGGAAAAGATCGACCATCTTGCCGATTAGGTTTTAGGTTCTCATTTTGCTATTGAATGTCCAATCATAACCTTTCAACTTTGAATCATTCAAAAGATTTTGCAAACAGATGTTTCTTTTCTGATTGCCATGTATGTACAGGTATATACGTACCATCGCGGTTACGACGGGGATTTGTAATGAGAGGGGTGAGAAAAAATCTCATACTTGTACCATCACTCGATTTATTATTAGTAAAATCGGACAATAAATTTCATTCTTTCAAATGTTTTCTAGAATGCTTGCGTGAACCAATGTGTATATCTGACAAAAAAATCGTAACATACCCAAACACACAAACCCGATTCTCAACGGATAAAAGTCAAAATGATTGTGTAAATATTTTTCAATAGAGTTATAGAGTTGTATCCAGAAAGATGACGATGTTTGTCATCACCCAAACATTGATAGGGGAATCCTGATACCGGTTTTTTTTTTTTTATTCATACCCGGATTACTAAAAAAGACGGTTCCCCTGATGCGTGACTTTTTTTGAAGGAATTAGTTCAAAGGGGGGTTTCAGCAAAATTACTAAAAATGTAATTCAAGCTCCCATATTTGTACGAAATTTGTACGATAAAAGAAAAAACATTTAGAAACTTAAAACGTTTCTGATTATTGCAATGAAAAACATAAATCAATAACCATTATGTATTGTGATGCAACGAAGATCCGTGATTCGTTTGATGATTGGTCCAATCAATCCTGAATGAAAATTTTTTTTCACGCATTAAAACATTGTCTAAATAAAATGGAATGATACCTCCGATTGAAAGAAAAATGACTCATTTACAACAGCAAAATTCATAGATATCGGGACATCCAAAAGAAACTCGTAAAGCCATTGTGTTCGTCGTGCTCATCGAGGCTAACGATATATTTTGAGCTTTACCGAGTTTTGCCGAATGTACTGAGCGTCTAGTTTTTTTTTAGAACAAAAGAAAAAAAAAGCTGATGCTCAATTTGTGTATCAAACAAATGTGAAATAATGAAATCTCCTCACTATTGTTAAAGTAAAATATTATACAAAATTTTATTGTTAATGTGTCGCCGTAGCATCGATCAAAAACCACGTGCGTATTGAAAGGGAATGGAACTTTAGGGCCAAATGTGGAAATATCATATCAATCACTTAACTCATGTTCAATTGGGCCAAATTTTTGACCGTTAACTAAATATGACATTTTTTTTTTTTTTTTGCTGACCAAAATAAACGGTCAATGCGGAAGAATGGAATAGCATTGTTTCCGTAATAGGTATCGATCTGAAATCTTTAATCCATTCCAAGGAAGATAAAGGAATAAACAATATACGCCACAGAAAATAAAAACTGTAATATTGTAATCATTTTGTATTTTTAGTTTCCCGAAAAACGTACTTTCATCATTACTGAACGATTGCGTATTCTATTAACTAATTTTTAAAAGAGAATCTTTTTATTATGACAAAAACGTGACAACCACATTCTTAATATTTTTGCAGTAGAGAATTGTTTCGTTATACAGAAATTAAAAGTTCATATTTATTTTATTATTCTATCAGTATAAACATATTTAATTCGTTCAAAATTTTTACAAAAATATTCTAATTTTTTTTTTTACATTAATAAAATTACCTTTATGGTAAAATTACAAGCTATACATATTTTTAAGTTGCGCAAACAATTATCTTTTAAAAGGTAAATTGTAAAATGCTTCGCAGATTGGAGTAACTTCTGGAGTAACTTCCGGGGTAACTTCCGGGGTTGCTTCTGGGGTAGGATATTTCTTGACATTGCCTAACATTCGTTGAACGTATGATTTACAATAATTTATTTTATGGAAGCAAAAAAATAAATGGAAATAAAAAACATTGATCTGATTAGTTTCATCATTTTTTAACGTTTTTTTGGGGGGTAAAAATAAATATTTCTATCTCGAAGAAATTTCATTTATTATTTATCAATTTTTAAATTAAAAAAGGTAAGAATAAATTATTTTTTTCCATCATCATCAACATCATTTATGATCAATGTTACCTTGTAAACCGACATTTTCGGCTCCAATAAGATTGTTAATGACATGCTCAATACTCTTGAAATATTTTACGGTCTTGACATGCAATTCAAGCGTTGCGTCTTCATCACAAACGATCAAAGCTTTTGGGTGATGTTGTATGGCCGAAACCGTCCACATGTGATTTACACCTAAATTTAGGTACAGTATAATCAATTTTTTTTTATTTACCATTGAAATTCTCGTTATTTATCATCCATGTAATGTTAATATTTACCTTCTTCGATACATTTGGAAAGAGCAATCGCTTTATGTGCTCCGGTTATGATAATCGCGACTTCGCGTGCCTCCATAACGGTTCTAAACCGTGTAATCGTGATTAAATTAACGCGGAAAGTAAAATGTCTAATTTTTATTAATAATGAACGTACCCCACACCGACTGTCAAAGCCATTCTTGGTACTTTGTTAATATCATTATCAAAGAATCTTGAATTCGCCAAAATAGTATCGTAAGCCAAGGTTTTAACACGGGTTCTTGATGTCAGAGATGATCCCGGTTCATTGAAAGCGATATGACCATCGGGTCCGATTCCTAACATTACAAATGTACTTGTTATACAAGGATTAAATTGTTCTCACACGTGGCAATTTGAAACGTACCTCCAATGAATAATTCAATACCACCGACAGACTTTATCTTTCTTTCAAATCTAACACATTCTTCACTAAGGTTCTCGGCGTTACCATCAAGGATGTTTACGTTATCCGGAGCAATGTCGATATGTTTGAATAGATGATGCCACATAAAAGAATGATAACTTTCCGGGTGATCCCTTGAAGTATTTTAACGATAAATGGATAAGTTGATAACCAAATTACCAAAATTACAAGAAAAAAAAATATTTTTTTTTTTTTTTCGAAAATCTTCTTTCTTACCTTGGTAAACCAACATATTCGTCCATGTTAAAGGTAACAACATGCTTGAAGCTTAACTCATTGTTCCTATAAAATTTCACCAAACATTTATATAAACCAACGGGTGATGAACCAGTTGGCAAGCCAAGAACAAAGGGACGCTCTCGAGTTGGGTTATATTCAAGTATACGATTTTTGACATAAGTTGCTAACATTATTTAGCAAATGGAAAGGGGGTTTTATCTTAAAAATGGAGTGATCCAAGAAAAAACATCATAAATTATTATTCTTACCTATGTACTCTGATACCTCGTCATAATCAGAACGTATAATGAGACGCATGTTTCTGTTTTATCACAAAAAAAAATTGATTTTTTTTTTAAAAAAAAAAAAACGATAAAATATTTTTTTCTTTTTATATACAAACGGAAATAAAATATGTTTTAAAGAAAAAAAAAAAAAAAAAAGTCCGACTTGGATCAATACTTTGAATAAATTGGAAATTGATAATTATAAAAGTTTCTAAATATATATTTAGTGAACTCCTAAAGAGGAAAGAAAGGAGGTTTTTTTTTTTTAAAAAGTTGATATTCTTTCAATCTTCAAAATACCCCGTGGAGATCTTTGAGATCATGCAATGATTAAACGATCTGGTCAGGTAAATTTATAAGAATTTCACGTCAAAAAGGTATTCGAGAGATTTCTGTTTGCATTATCATTACGTATTAAATCATTAAATTATGAAAGAATGACGGAATCGCTACGATATTTCTCACGAAACTGTAAATGGTAAATTTAGAAATAAAGTTAATGCAATTAAAAAAAAGGGGATCGAAATACCAAAATGACAAAGCTCTCCGTGGTGATGTTCATCATGCTGAAAGAATGGATGATTATCACGTGTTAATGACCTATAACAAAATGTGGCGATGTCGTGTCGACACACATATTGCTAAATATCGCGTTCAGAAGTGAATTAAGCAAACAAATTAGTTCAAATCTCTTCTTTTATTTTAGAGAAGAATTTAAATAATATACTAGATCTTGTCAAAGTTGGTCACTACTGTAATTAATTGGCTTTTTAAAAAAGATTCTGAAGACATCAAGTCTAACATTTGCTCCTGGGCTTCATAGATGTGAAGGCATTGTTAGCGATAGTTTGTCTAACTTTCTTATTTCTGTTATTCAAAGAATTTTAACTTCGTGGTTACTAGGAATATATTTTCTTCAATTGGAAAAGGGGAACCTAAGTTGATCTGTGTCCCAAGATAACATAACATCTCGATATCTTTAATGATCTTTGAAGAACTTCAACAGGAAATTTGAGGAACTAGACATTTTATCATATCATTGCAATAATAAATTCAGTATAAACGTGCAGTTTTAGTCAGTTTTAAAATTTTGTGATTAATCAATGGAACTTAAGTTCAATGATAGTTTGTCACCGGTGTCACATCCCCGCGTTTCATTTTACTGGTCGTTGTTTCAGCTCGTACAGGTGGATCAACCTGGGAAATCTTTTCTTCTCTTCACCTTATATCCTCAGGAAGGCAAGTTTTGATGAACCCGTACTAATTCTTTCGTAATCTCCCTCCTTCGATCACAGATTTCAGGAGAATAATAGAATACTATTTATGGCTTTGAGCATATGCGAAAAGGATATATGGAATATTACGTATTCTTTCCTTACCAGAAGAACTTCCGGGAAAGAACTTGCATAATAAAAGTTTATCGGTTTGATCTGTAAAACGGATTTTAAAAAATCATGACGAACATTCTTCGTAATCAATGACGTCGATTATTGCGTATATCATGTGTTACTATTACCACATATAAAGTATTTTTAGCGCAAATGGTTTCAACTTTAACCTTGGATATTTCAATATGGCTGATTGTAAGAATGTATTAGTTTTCAATTTAGTAAATCCTACTAAAAATATTCTGTCATTTCAGCTATAGAATTAGTACCTTCTGAAATTCAGAAGGTTCTGCAACTAAAGTAGCTTCTACAAAACACGCAACTACAAAAACTACTGGCCCAGAATTATCGGAAGAACGACAAACGATTCATGATAATTTGACCGAATGGTCGCTTATGTATTACAATAATATTAATAACAATGTGGATAAATAGCTATTTACAGTATATTCATCGCAGAGATATTTTTCACTTAAATAACCAATATAGATTCTTCATATTCTCGATTTTTTTTTCACTTATCAAATAGAGTTCTGTCCTTAAACTATTTGGATATATAATGCTCCTTGCTATCATAACATGAAATTCAAAGAATGAAATTTATCAAATGATTTCATATAGAACTGTTTATTTCATACAATATATTTCTATTATACAGTAATAGATTTATATTGGAATATGGGTTTTAATAAAAAGTTTATTTGTTATGCAATTTATACAATAGTACTAGCAGGTATTTTTTCTCTTGTTTACAGTTTTAGTAATAATGGTTGGAATATTTGAATCAACCTCAAGTATAACCTTTCTTGGTTCCGAAGTAGTATTTCTGATTGGTATTCAAAGCTCTTAATTGGATTGTAATGAAAATGTCTAAAAATAGCTGAATTATAATATGAAACCTTTGCAATAGAAAAAGGAGAAAATGGCTAAAAAAATAAAATGAGTTGATGTTAAATCTAAATATATTTCAACCTAAAAATCATATTTGATATATAAAATAAAATTGATTTTTTCTGGCAGTTTCCAATTTTTTATTGCAAAGATCCTATATATATATATAGTAAAATTGTATATATACATTTATTCTTAAAAAAAAAATTATTGAATATGTATATTATTTGTTATTTCATAAATTTCATATTTCAAAACTGTTTAAACTTTTAATATATAAAGAGAATAAATGTTAAATATATAAGTATCTTAAATTAGATTTAATTTTTAAAAAGTGGATAATGCAAAGTTAAGTAACATTTCAAAAAATTAGCTCAAAGAAGAAGCAGTTAATATATATCAAGTATTTGATCTTATCTTAAAAAAAAAGACTATTAAAGAAATAGCTTATATATTATCTAAAATAATTTTAGTGAAAAAAATGCACAAATGATATCTAGAGCCTTTACTAAAAGTCTTTAATATTTCACTAATTCATCATGTTACTTAAAGATATACTTTTTTGTAATAATTAAGATCATAAATTCTTTAAGGTTTATTTTTAAATTAAATTATATTTTTTAATAAATTTTATTATAATCACAGATATTATATCAATATAGTTAATAAAATATAGAATAATAATTTAAATATCTGATTATATTATATAAAAAATTCAATTCTGAAAATTTATTTTATATAATTTTAAATATTTTAATGATATAATTTCAAAAAAACTTTTTTATAAAATTATATAAAATTAAGTATTTTTATAAATACCTAAATTTTAAAAGTATATGTATAGTTATAAAAATAGTAAAATTATATTAATATTAATAAAAAAAAATTAGTAAAAATAAAAGTTTAGATATTTTATTAAATTAATATAAGTTTTTTATTAATTTTATAATTTGATTTTTTAATATAAATATACTGTATATAAATAAATATAATTGAATTTTATTAGTCTAAAGTACTTTTATATACTAGTCACATATTACACAAAGTGTTCTATTATTTGTCTACTCAAAATTTGAGTTAATATGTAATTAAGTCTTTTTCGTTACACTTGTATTTTAGACTTAACAATAGTTTTCAAAACTGTTCCCTAGTATAAATAAAAATCAATCATACACTTTAAAAAATTTTCAAAGTATATATAATAATTTTACTATTTTATCTGTATTTTAAATATATAATAATTTTTAAATTAATAAATTTCTTTTAAAATTTTTTAGATTTTTTTTTTTAAAAGTAGATCTTTTGTTTTTTTTAAATAGATAAGTCTTTTAAATATTCTTTAAAAGTTTTTTTAAATAAATTTCTTTTTTTTATTAATTTAATTTTTTTTTAAAAAGTAAAACTTTTATTTTTTTAGAATAAATAAATCTTTTTTTAGAAATTTTTTTTTAAAAATAAATTTTATATTATTTTTATTTTTATTTGAAATATGTTATAATAAAATCAGATAAATGAATATTCTTTTATATGATATAGTGATTGATTGATATAGTTAAAAGTTAATTAATTTGACTAATATTATTTTGATTATTATACTTATAAAGTTTATGTAAGTTACAGTTTTAAATTAATATTATATCAGAATATAACTAACATTAAAATTGGCTGAAATAAATAACTGTTAATAAAATTAAATACTAACTAATTACTAACCTTATATTTTAAGAGGAATAGAAATTGCAATAGTAGTAATGATAGTAATAGAAGCTTTTGTCTATTTGATAAGAAGGAAAAGAAGAACTTAATATTATTAATTATTGGTTATATAATACTATTCTTAATTTTTTTGATAGTAATAGTATTAATTACACTTATTTATTTATATTAATAATTAATAAGCTGAGTTATTTTTCTTTCAATTTCTATTTCTTTCTTGATTTATTATAAGTTAGTAATAATGCTCATTTATGATTTATTATTTTTTATTTTTTTTTGATAAATTTATAAATAATTTTTTCTTTATCTAGATATTTCTCAAAGATTTTGATATCATTGATTTTGAAAATTATAAAGCAATTTTTCACTTTAAGCTTTTTTTTAAAATACTTCTAATAGTGCTGTAACTTTTAAGTTTTATTGTAAATTAATTTATATTTATATATTTTATATAGCTTTAATCTTATATTAATCATATTATAACTTAAATTTATCTCAACTAACTTTAATGTTAATTATATTCTAATATAATATTAATTTAAAACTGTAATTTAAATAAACTTATATATAAGTATGATAATCAAAATGATAATAGTCAAATTAGTTAACTTTTAATCATATTAATCATTTATTATACTACATAAAAAATATTTACTTTATTTGATTTTATTGTAGCATACCCTATTTATTAAATTATTATAAATATTAATATATTAATATATTTTAAAATATAAAAAAAAACTTTATTTTAAAAATATATTTTATATTTTTTTTTAAAAAATATCAGAAGTTGTTAAAACTTATTTCAAAGTATATATGTTATAAAATTATTATTTCTAAAAACTTAATTTTGATTTTAGCTATTATATTTAATAACTATAATTCATTTATTTATATTTGTCTAAAAGCTATTATCTAATATTATATATTATATTATTAGATTTGATTCTAGTTAAATTTAATTAGATCTTTAATACTATTAGAATTAAATAAAAAAATTACTTTCAGTTATAGAGATTGTTATTCTTTATCATTATATTAAAATTATTACAATCTATGCTTATTATTAGAAAGATTCATAATAAAATAATCTTATATGACTAATAGTAAATCTTAAAAGTTATTATTATTATATAACATTTTAAAAAGTAATTAATTTTATATTTATAATAAAAATTCTTTATTTATAAAATTTTAAATAAAATTTAAATAAATAAGATTTTTTTTTCAAAAATAATATGGATGTCTTACAGTAGAAAGGGAGAAAACTACCAAAAAATTTTTTTTTTTACTTTCTAAGCTAAATATTATTTTTTTTAGTAAAATAAATTCAGATTTAACATTAATTCAAAAAAAAAATTTTTTGGTAGTTTCTCTCTTTTTACTACAAAATACTATATTATTTAAATCAAAAATAAACATTTATTAAAAATTAATTTTATTATCCTTTCAACTATTTTGTCTACAAATTTATAATTCTTTTTAATTATTTTTAAATATTTTAAAATATATTATTAAAAAAATTAATATTTTTATAATAAATTTTATGATGTTTTCTAAGTAAAAATTAAAAAAAAAAATGTAATTAACCAGTGATTTTTTAAAGATAAATAAATAATAAATTATTATAAAAAAAATTAAAATTTTAAATTTATATGTCTTGCTATCTATTAATCTCAAAAATATAGAAATATTACTATTTAATAGATCTTAATGTAATGAATTTAATAAATTAAATTTTATATTTTTATAATTATTTTTTTTTAAAGATGCATTAATACTTATATTTATTGTAAAAATTCAAATCCAATAAGTTAATATATAAAAATCCTAAAATTAGATACAAAAATAAAAAAAAAAAAATTAAACTACTTAAAAAATCCTTACAAGCAAAAAAATATACTAGTCTCAAACCAATCAGTCATCCTATTATACTCAGAAGATGATTACTAGTAGAGTCTTTTTTAATATATGATAATTAGATTATTACTATACCTTCTCTTTTTTCTAACAATAATTATTATCTTAAATTTAAATTCAATACAAAAATAAATAACTCAAATTATTGTTAAACTAAAAAAAGAAGCTAATAAAAAATATGATTTTAACAAGTTCTTAGCTAAGTTATTTAGTTATTTTCAGTTATAGTAACCTCCTAATACAGGAATGTCTATATTATTAAGTTCTGCTAAAAGCTCTTTAGTACTTTCAAACTTCTATGTTAAGATATTTGTCAATTCAGATTATAGTCACTAGTAGACATTACATAAAATCCAAATCATATAGTTGTGAAAAATCAGAAAATCCTGCTAAAATCAAAAAATTTATGATATCAAAGATTTAAAAAGAGTGTGATTGTTTAGGAAGATAATTGAAAGTCATGATATGTGATTAATTGATCTAAAGTTATTATTAATCTTAATTATTATTTAGAATAAACTCTTCTTACCTTCTCTCCTGATGCTCACTTTTGTAAATAAAAAAAAAGAAAAAAAATATAGAAAAAAAGTTAAGAAAAGTGGCAAAAAAAATATTTTAACAAAAAATCATTACTGTTTGGATTAACAAAAACTGTTTTTGAGATAAGAGGGTTTAGAGAAAACAAAGAGAGAAAGAAGTTTATAAAGGAAGTTTTATTATTTATTTGCAGACTAAGCTGTGATCATTCTTAAATGTACATATTTTTTATATAAAAATTTTCGATTAAGTGATCATTAGAAAAAGTTATTTTGAAATTATATATTTTTATAATTATTAAATAATAAATAAATTATTTTTAAAAATTAAAAAATTAAAAATTTAATATATATTAATAATTATTAATTTTAAAAGTAAAAAATACTATCATTAGATATATTATAATATGATAAATTTAAAAATTTTATTTTATCTTTTTATAATTATTAAATATCAAAATATTTTAAGTTTTCTAAAATATTTTAGAAATAATTTTATACTTACTATTTAAAAGATAATTTCTAAATATTTTTTATAAAAAAATAAAGAACTGTTACCAGTTTTATAATATAGATTTTGACTAATTTGTATTATAATATTCAAATATAAAGATGAATATATTTTTTCATTAATTAATAATAATTATTATCAGGCATTTTAAATAAAGATTATTATATTCAAAGAATATTAAATTAAAGGATATATCTTTTATTTTAATAGGTACTATCTCTTTTATATAGTTAAAATTATAAGATTTTTATTTTAAAAATTAACAAAAAAAGAAATTATATATTAGAAAATTTACTATAATAATCTACTAAAAATATAGATTATTAGAAATATATATAAAGTAGTTAAAAATCCTTTATTAATTACTGAATATTATATAAAACTAGCTTCATAAATAGAATTTGTAATTACAATTGATGTAAATATTATTTTAGAAAAAGTAAAAAATGCTGATATCTTAGAATTAAAAAAATCAGAAAATGCATAAAAGAAACAAAAAGATTAAATGAATAATAAAATAGATAATAATAGTAATAATTTTATTAAAAAATAGAAGTTCTTAAAACAATTTTTAAATAAAATAAAAAAATATATAAATATTTAAAATATTATTTAGTTTATTAATTGAAAAAAATATAATTTATAAGAAAATTATATCAATTATTATAAGAAATATTTTTAATAAAAATTATATTATATAAAAGGAATTAGAAAATAAGTAAAAAATTGGATTAAAAATAAAGTATTACTAGTATTAATATAAGATTATAATTAAAAAACAAAATTATTTATTGATAATGAAGATATTATTAAAAAAAACTTAAAATTTATTTATAAAATAAAGGAAAAATTATATATAAATTAGTAATATCTATCTAAATTATTTTTATCATGACTAAATTTTTATTAAATTTTATATTTGGCTAACCCTTTGACTAAATATATATAAATTATTAATTTTAATCAAAAAATATTGCTAATTAATATTATAGATAATAGTTATTTATATAGTAAATTTATTAGAAAAATTGGATTCTAAGATTTTTTTAATTAAAATTAAGATCTTATTATATTTAATCTAATAATATTAAAAACTAAAATATAATATAAATTTAATTTTTATTAAAAAATTTTTTATAATCCAATTTTTCTAGCAAACTTTTTTATATAATAAATAAAATATAATAAATAGTATTTTATTTACAAAAATTTTTAAATTTCTAAAATTTATAGTAAAATAAATATTATTAAAATTATGAGTTAAAATCTATAAAAAATCTATTGAAATAAAGTTTTAGCATTTTGACTTTTTAATTATTAAAAACTAAATAGTTTTAGTTTTATTATTTATTAATATTTCAATTTTACCTAATATTATTAATATAAATTATATAAAATTTTTATTAATAATACTCTTTTTTATAAATAAAGATTAGAACTTTGAATTAGATCAGGTCAACCTGTTTACCTAATCTGACTTGACCTAAAAATTAAGTTAGATTAACAGATTAACTTAATTTGACCTAATCTGATAAAATTTAAATTAACCAATTATTCTTTTTAAATAATTTATTTTTATTATTGTTCAATTAAAATGATTTTTTATTGTTTTTCTTGAACAATATCTTATTATTTAAATACAAAATTCTTTATAATTTTTCTTAAATAATATCTTATTATTAAATAAGAATGATTCTTTATCATTCTTTTTAAATAATTTATTATTATTCAATTAGAATAATGATATCTTATCGTTCAATTAGAATAATTCTTTATTATTATTTAATTAAAATAATTTTTTATTATTTATTTAAAATAATTCTTTATTATTCAATTAGAATGATTCTTTATTATTTAATTAGAATAATATTTATAATTCAATTAAAATAATATTTTTATTATTCTTCTTAAATGATTTATTATTGTTTAATTAAAATGATTTGGTTAGGTTAAGTCAGATCAGATTAGACAAATGAAAATTAAAGTCAAAATCAGATTTTTATTTAATCTGATTTGATTTTTTCAGTTTAGGTAACTTGATTAATCTAACTTAAATTGACTTGTTTAGAGCTTTAATGAGGATAACTATATTAATTTATAAAAAACAGTTAAAGTATGTTAAAAAATTTAAACTTATTTTATAATCTCAAAAAAGAAGTATTTAGAACATGCTGCAATAAAATCAGATAAAGTAAACATTCTGTTATGTGACATAAATGAGGGGTTGATTATAAATTATGATATTACTGTAAAATTAACTAGGGTAATTGATGATATTTTGAAAAGTAAATCATGATGTTCATTCATTATTTATGGACTTGTTAATTTTAATGCTCACTTTATCATATCAGAATATGATGAATATAAACTATAACAGAATTAATATAAGATTACTTCTATATAAAAAATATTAATATGGGGTCTTTGCAATAAAAAGGAAGGAAACTCTAAAAAAATTAAAATTTTAGTTATAAGCTAAAAATATTCTAAATACTATAATTTGTTCAGATTTACTATTAACTCATTTTTTATTTTTTTTTGAGTTTCCTCCCTATCTATTGCAAAGGTCTCATATAAAACTAATTTACATTAAATCCACTATAGAACTCAAGAATTACAGTACAATTAGAAGCATTCTAAAAAAAGAACAAGAAGAGAAAATTGCATCTTATGTTTTTAAAATCAACAATATCTAAATTTTTCAGGAATATCTAGATCAAGAAAAAATCACTTTTAAAATTTACCAATATTTAGATTACTTTCTTACTTTTAATTAAGGTTATCTTTTATGTTCTTTAACTTCAATTTGAGCAATATGTTGAGAAATTAATTGTTCTAACTGAAATTTTAATCTCTTGACTTCTTCTTTATAGTTGCCATTCTTTGCTTCTAGTTGCAAAATTTGATTTAATAATTCTTGCTTTTGTCTCTTGCCTTATTTTTCAAATTTTTCTTGAAATTTAACTACTTCTTCTCTTTTAATTTCTAAAGCTTTTTCAGTTTCATTTAGTTATTCTTGCAGAGAATTTGTTTGTCTTTTGTAAAAAGCAGACTGACTTATTTCTTCATGAGGTAAAAGAGGGGACTTTTTCTCTTCTAAATCTTTATTGTTTCTAATATAGTAGCAAATATTCTTATTAATAAAAATATCAAAATCTAACTTAATTTGAATCTACCATATCTATTGCACTTTAGCAATTTATCATTCTAATACTTTTCTTCATATCTTTTATAAACTATATTATCTGCAATTCATTTCTCATTTACTTTAGTGCAAGACCTTATTTGATAAACAGATTTATTATTTCTGTTTTCAAGTTTAGAATAAAAATCACAAGTTTTTTTACTTTTTTTCTTCAATTTTAAAACTGTGTATTCCAGTTTTCTCATTAGCAATTTACTTGTTATTTAGACTTTACTTTTACTCAAGTAATCATTTCTTAGTTGTGAAATTTATCTTTTTTGATTAGACCTTGCAATTTTTGAATCTCAACCTTTGCTTTTATTTTCAATCGATTGAAAATTTTTTGCTTAGTTAAAATCTTATTTTCTTCAATAGGTAAAGTAGGCAAAGGTTTATTGTTCAAATAATCTAACCTCTTTAGATTTTCATTTTGTGATTCACTGTCAACTAATTACTTACTTAGTTTTTCTATTTTTTTGCTTTTTTGACTTGTCTTCTCTTCTAATTTTTCAACTCAGGCTTCTAGATAAAAGACTTTTTCACTAGCACTTTTAGTTTCTTATTTTTTCTTTATATCTTCTACTTGATTTTTACTTAATTTTTCATTACATGCTACAACTTCCTTAACTTATTCCTGCTCTATTTTTACTCTTTCTTCTAATTCTTCTATTTCTGCTTCCAAATTTTCTTATTCTGTTTCTAAAACCTTAATTTTTTTTTCATATTCTTGCTTTTGTTTAACTACTTTATCAAAACTTTTCTTAGTTTTAAAAGTTAATTCATTTCAACTACTAATTAACTTATCTAAAGAAAGATTTCTAAGATTATAATAATTATAACAACTTCATTTGATTGAATCTCATCCTTTATATCCTCTTTCTAATATTCCTTTTAGAGTTAAATTATCTTCTATTTTGCCTTCATTTAATTACTTTTGAAATAATTCTTTACTTTCTTTGGAATTTAATTTATAAAGATATCTTTTTTAACTTTATTTTTTATTTGTCAATGAACTTCTGATTGCTTATAATAAGGATAATATTGGTAAGCATTAAAAATTATCTTTCTATGAGCTACTTCAGTAGGAAATAACTTACAAAGTCAGACCAAGTTTTTTCATAATAATGAATTCTCTTTATAATTGCATCAATTACATCTATATCTGAATTGCTAGTATAATAATTTTCACTTATAATAGTAGCTATTCATGCTCTAATTTCTTCATTGTTTAATGATTTGAATTGTAAAGGTGCTTTTAATTGTTCAATCTCATTTAATAATTTTTTGTTTCTCTTTTTCGAGTTCTATTATTATATTTATCATACTTTTATTTTTATTTTATTTATTTTTTTAATATACTTATATCCTTTTTATAAGGGTATATTAAGTATATAATTATTTTAATATTTCTTTTTATTTAAACTTCAAAATTAAAAATAGGAAAAGCTAGTGAAATTCGTTGAAAAATAGCAAGAAAATTAATGAGCATTGAAGTTTTTTAATTCAAATATTTTATTAATTGCTAATATAAATTGGTTGTGAATAAGTAATGTCTTTAAATTCATCTCTAATAAATAGACGAATATTATGATAAAGATATTCTTGTCTTTTATAATCCAAAGGAAAAGGAATCAGTACAGGAATAAAAAAGATTTAATTTCTTTGGTAATTTCAGAAACACCTGCTTTTCTGATTTTCAATAAATTAAATTCAATATAAGTACTATTGGTAACCAGCTGAGCTTTGATAATATCAGGTTTGACTACTTTAAATATAAAATGCTGATACTTTTATAAACCACTCAATTTCTTAAAGAAATTTCTAACACAGAATTAAGATCTAAATATTGAAAACCTTTGCTATTTTTATAGTACTGAGCCTTGTTTAATTCCACTATACTTGATTTTTTCACAACCTCAATGATATGTTTTACACTATTTACTATTGTTTTTCAGTATAGTTTTTTAATTAATCTGAAGCTACTATCACACTTGAATTTAGTATGTCCAGGTATCATGAAATTTAATTTGATACTTTTATAATAACTGTAAATTACTAATATAAGTAAAATCAAATGGTAGCATTATTTTTATTCTGTTCACTCATGTTATTATAAGTAATCTTTAAACATTTTTTGTCTTTATTTAATCTCTTAATTCCATTAAATACCATGCTCAGTGTACCATTAGGACCTTTGCCAATAATTTCATCTTCATCAAGAATGTAATTAATTTATTTATATACTGCTTCATCTTAGATATCAAATAAATATACTTTATATAGACTAAGATAATAAATCTTACTTACTTGTTAATTAGAATGGGATACGTGAATGTTTTACGTTCAATTGTAACTGTAATATACAGTTACATCAATATTACAATAAGCTTTACTTCTTGTTATAAAATGCTCATCCACTAATTTTCTCTGTAGTTTGCTAGTTTCGTATTTTGTTATAATAGTTTCTTTATAATTTAGCCTTAACTAAATGTTCTTTATACTTTTTTAGTAAGTCTCTTACTTTTTCTTCCTTATGAGCATTATATTGTAAGCCATTCTGAAAATGTTAGCACATATCACATAAATCTGTTCTTGGACTTGTGATTTGAATATAAGATATTAATTGGTATCATAACTTGCGAAATGTATTATATTTTAATAATTTCAACACACTATCATTTTTAAGACCTGCAATAAAATTATGATAGACTGATTTATAACTTGTTTCTACTGGCAAAAGTGTAAGCGATTGAGTAATGCGATTGATGTTTCTATCTGGACTTGGTAGTCTATAAATTTCAATATAATTCTCAAGAAAATTTTTCACAGCAGTAGTAACAGTTATATTAATGATTATTTTGGTTTTCTATTATAACACATTTTTTACATTACCATGAACACATAGTATTATACCATCTATTACTAAGTGACTTCTGATATTTTCAAAATGAGTGTGATCAATTCCTAATATATTTAGATATATTTTCTAGTAGAGAGATGTATTATAATCTCAATAATAAAATATTTACTTATTAGTACGCATTTTCTTTTTAAGATATCAGCTGGTAATTATTTCTCTACCATTTATTACTTTAAGTTAGGCCATTAAAAATACATCTTGTTTAGATCTAGAGAGAACTTGAAATATCCCATATAATTCAGCAAACCCTTCTCTCAAAATCTTCTTTAAGCAACCACAATTGCAACCTACCTCTAAGAAATGCATAGCTTTTTCATATTCAGTTAAATTATTATAATTATAATTTTTTATATACAGGTATTCCTATATATATTTTTATTATTTTATAGCTTTTTATTTAACTTTTGATTTTTTCAGATTAATTGTATTTATCTCTTTACTCTATTTTCTTTTCAAATTATATCTAATTAGCAGTCATCTGATTACTTTATCTTTGATCTGATTATATCAATATATATATGATATTGGTTTAAAATATAATTAATGATACCAAATATAAAGAAAATTATTACCTCTTTTTAGGTGACCCATAAACACTGGGAAGTATTTTATACAACAATTCAGTTTCATCCTCAGCACATACTGTAAGTAGATCATTTTATGTGTAAATAAGATTCTTAAAGGCAGTCTAATACTCGTCTAAAAGATTGAAAGAAGCTAGTCTATGAACAATGAGCTAGTTGGAATCAACCCTTATTACAGAATATTTCAATATCTTTCTTTTTATAGTCTTGTTATAATATTTTACTTCAATATCAACAACAGTTTCTGTACATATTTTTTCTACAAAAAATTCCATGAATAACAATATGCTTCATTGAAGTAAATATCAGAATAATTAAAAGAAATTAAGGCATATAGTTATTTACTCACATGTAAATAAATACTAAAATAATTAGCTTCTATAGAAGCTGCATAATTCTCGTTAAATATAACCTTTGTCTAAAATAAGAATTCAGTACATTATTCTTCTTGTGTTTGGCTTAGTAGATTTGCCTAGTTCTTGACCTACATAGTTCCTTATCAGAAGAAGCGAAAAGCTATAATAAAGTATGTATTTATATTACACACTTGAAATACAATGATCTTAAACTATGATTTAGTACGATATTTAATAATTAGCCTAAGATCAGCATCTTATTGATTATGCTTAAAGTGAATTATCTACATCATTTCTAAATTGTCTCAATAGTTTCTTGGTAAGGTTTATGATTAATTAAAATGAAGTAAGTAAAGCCTATATTGAAATTATTGATTTTGGAAAGCGTGTCTTAAAATTTCTTCTAAATCAAGAAATTTATGAAGAAATAATATAACTGATCAGTAAGCAAAAAATAAAATTCCTTTGTTGGTGCGTCTTTCAAAGTAAATGAGGCAGTGCTAAGTTCCTAAGAGCAACAATTTTACTACTAATTCCTCTTGGTTACCTATATTAAAAATGTCTTCAGATTTGTACACTGCTTCTAACTCCTTTAATACTACAATTTTTACACCTTTTTCTAATAATAATTCCATTAAGGCTTCAGGCAGTAAAGGCTCTGATGGGTAAGTAATAAGGTGCTGCTCACGTTCATCATCAACAGCTACCAACATAGCCATATGTGATTTTACAAGTTCTGATGCAACACTTGATATTAGAGAAATATAAAGTGCAGCTGTGTAAGCAAGCAAAGCAAGAGAAACTCTTTATCTAATATTATCTTTCTTAATTTCACTTCACTTAAGTACTCCTCTAGTAAGCTTAGATTTTGCAAGACGTAATATTTTGTCAAATTTGTTTTTTTGGTCAGTTTCAGCAGTTTGACTTGACTATTAAGAGCTTCAGAGTAGCTTACCAAACTGAATAATATCATAAGCTGGATTGATTTTCTTCAGATGCAGGATGGAGTTATTACATTCAAAAATATTCGATAAGTCATAATCATATAATGATAATGAGTTATAATACATATTTAATTAATATATCATAAATAATCTATTATTACTATATAGATAAATGGTTTATAAAGATCCTGATTCATATCTCTTGTCTGAAAAATAGTGCTGATAAATATTTAAAAGAAAACACAAAAAGTATGAAGATATTATATACTAAAAGATCGTATTCTTTCAAAGGCATCAAGTTCGCAATTGATGAATTAATATCAGTAAAGATATCTATAGTCACGTGCTTGTATTTCTATAGTGTTCAACGAATAGCTCTGAAAGCCTGATTTTTTTCTTGAGAACCAGTACCTGTAAAATCACCTAATAAGTCAATAGTTAAAATTGAAGAATATCGAAAATGAGAATAGACCTTCACCGAGAAGAGTAGACACTTCATCAAAGTAAAAGATTATCTTCTCATTTATACTCTTTAAATGTTCGTCATTATCATGATTTTGACTGATGAAATTCCAAAACTCATAATGTATTTGTTAAGAAAGAAGTCAGTAACCTTAAAATGACAATTATGCAATAAACTAAATATACTTAATCAGATTATTTAGCAAGTTTTCTCGATAATTCTCACCAAATTTTTCTGACGGTATGTCTTGATCATAGACTGAATTTATGACAAGACAATTCTTTCAGCATATGAAAAATCAGAAGACCAGAGATCTTTCAACAACTTCTTACTCTACGAAGTTGCAGGTAGGTATCCAGTTAAGCCCTTCTTGCAGAAATATATTTATATAAGGGACACATTTTTAGCTAGTTCAAGGCAGTTCTAGTTTTTCCATATTCTGAGGATTGTATAATAGTCAAATAGTTATAGAATTCATTACCACTATTAGCAACTGCATGAATTCGCTGATTCAGCTTAGCCAAGTAATTCACATTTTGTTGAAATAGGACTTTGAAAGCTTTATTGAGAACTTGAAGAAGGGAATAAAAAAGCAACTGTTAATTATCTATATTATTTAGAAGTAGTATATGTAGATTAATAATCAACCCATGCTGGTTGTCACCAAAAAGCGTGAACTACTCATTTCTAATAAGACAGAAACTAAGAGGTTAGTAACATAATAACAATTAATAAATTTCACAATAAGTATTTCAGGTTATAACAGTATTCGACTATATTCTGACCAATATGCGTATTGTAATGCATTCTAACTATTTTTCCTCTATTGACCTCACAGCTGCTCTATAATCCTATTACTCTTATATCAACCTATAACATCTTTTGTTTCCTTCAGTCATAATTGCTTACCTTGTATTATCAGTCCTATTTTCATAGTGACAGTTTGCACAACATTTTGCTATGCAAAATATGTTCTTATATTTTTAAGTATACTATTACATATAGCATCACTGTTCTTATCATATTCATTTAAAATAGTGTTGCATTTACAGTGTCATTTATGAGAGTGTAACTGAGTCAATGCTTAAAGTATGTGTCTCATTCTCATTTCTTGTCTTCATCCAATTTCTTTAAAGTTTTACCCTTATTCAGATAGCATAGTTAGAGAGAGTATGTGTTATTACATTTTTGTTGCTAAAAGCAAATTCTTTGTTAATTAGATTATAAGAAATTTTAATACAATACGTGTTTATTTTTGACTAAATTAGTACTTGTCATACAACTAGTCTGAGTACCTACATTCTTTGTTTAATCTCTAAATTGTCACATAATATAAGTTTTAACCAATACTAATTAGCAATTATTATACTGCCATAAAGAACAATAAAGATGCTTAAGATATGTTTTGTGTGTTTAAAATAATCTTTGTTTATTATTAAAAGAAAAAGGATTCAGAGGTAAATCAAATAGTTTTTGTTTAGACTTCTAATAAATCAGCCAGCCTACCTTTTATGAGTGCATGAAATTACTATATATAAAGTAAGATAGTCAGAATCTCTTTTCTTCATACCTAATAATCATCAATTTAAATTAATCGTAAAACTAATCATAAAAACTACCTTATCAGTTTTGATTTAAACAATTTGAAAATGCTCACTTTCATTACTGAATTCTATTATAGATTACTGATCAGAGTTCTCATTAGCTTCATACTTTATTATAATCACAAAAATAAACTTTACGAAATAAGTCAAAAATTAATAAAATAATTAATTTAATCAAGCCTACAAAAAGGCATAACAATAAACTAAGTAAATAATTCAGCAAACAAAGTTACTTATCAGATGCTGAAAATCTGCTGAAGAACTTTAAAAAATTATTTGACAAAAAGTTTGGACTGAATCTGAATTTTTCATTTAATCAAATGGATACCAAAATCTACAAATTACATAAAGAAAGAGATGTTGCAGGCCCTACGCTGAAAAGTTTCTACTAACAAAGAACAATCTCACAAAAAAAAACCATTAAAGCAATCCAATATTGGATCAATGAAGAAAAGGAAAATTTAAACCATGAAAATGATGAAATAATTGATGATAGTGATAATACTATTAATAATAGTAATAGTAAAGAAGATAATAAAATTTAAATTTGCATTAGAGTAACCAAAGAATAGGTTATACTCATAAACAGCTTTGGGTCTGAGTTTTTTTCTCTCATGTAATCACTCTAGTGTATTTAGTATTATTTATATTTTCAAAAGCATATATTCAATAATTAAAATAATAAAATTTATGCTTACGAAAAAATAGAATTATTTTACGTTATTTGATTTTTTTAATTGCATTATATCAAAGTAGTGAATGTGATCATATCTTAATGAATGCGTTTAAGCGGTCTTTTATCAAGACTATAAAAAAATAATTTTGCTAATAAATCGCTTAATCAATCAAGAAAGTTTTTACAATAAACTATTTTCCTTTACTTTTCTTCTAATTTTTATTATTTCTTGGTTTATCATAAGTTAGTGGTAATGTTCATTTATGGTTTACTATTTTTCATTCTTCTTGATAAATTTCATAAGTAATTTTTCTTGATCTAGATATTCCTGAAGAGTTTGGGTATTATTGATCTTAAAAACATAAAATGCAATTTTCTCTCCTTGTTCTTTTTTTAGAATACTTCTAATTATGCTATATTTTTTAAGTTTTATAGTGGATTTAATGTAAATTAGTTTTATATTAATATTTTTTATATAGAAATAAGGCGATATAAAGTAATAAGATTGGTTTTCATATCCCGTCCGGATCAATAAGATAAGATTTTGAAATTTTAATTTTTTTTATAATCAACCAATAAAAATGCTTCATGTTCATATTACGTGACTGAACAATATTCTTTATTAGATTCAAAAATAATTAACATAAATCTTAAAAAGAAATCAAGAAAGCTAAGTTTTTGTACATTTTTTCTTTTCTTTACTATCTTGTTTCTACTTTAGACGCTTTTTTGAGATAACAGTACCTTTGTCACAATCATTACAACATGGGTCTTCATCTTTTATTAATCTATTGATATCTATACTTCCGCATTCATTGTAAACGTCTGGGTAAATTTTAGTTGAATAATAAGATCTCTTAACTTAGGATAAACACAACCATGAGTCATTAACATAAACTCTTGAAAAAAGTTCGTAAATAGAATCTTTCATATTATCAGATTCTTTTTTTACATTATCAGACTTTTCCTTCACATTATTAGATTTTTCATCTGAATCTAAATCTGAATCTTCACGTTCATGTTCATTTTCATCATAGTCATCCTTTTCATCTATCTCATTCTCTATATCATCTTGTATATCTGATTTTTTTGTAGTATGATTATTGCAAAATTACAAGTGTTACAAAAAGATATATCACAGGTGTAAAAAATTATATCTAAGAATTCTCGTAGTATTGTTTTGTCCTTTTCAGAAAGTTTCTTTGTGCTGAATAAAAGATGTGGCTTCTCACATTCAATGCAATTTACAGTGACACTAACATTCTTTGCACGTGCAGCAGAAGGGCAAAATAGCATGGTATGTTTTACTTTTGTAGTTTTCATTTTGCCCTTTATTTTTATTTTGGTATTTTTAAGTGAAGGTCTATGATCTTCTATTGTTTGTTTATCATATAATTCTTCAAATAACTTGTAATATAAGTCTTCTCCAAGTACTGAATCTGAAAGACAATGTAGTTGTTTAAAATCTTCTGATAAATAATGAGGAGGATGACAAATGGTATAAGCTGATTCACCACATTTTTTTATTGAAAAGAAGTAATGCCTTGACGTGCAACAGTATTCCATAAACTCTTTTAGACGTAACTTTAGACAAAGATAAGTTAATCAAGTGGTCAAGATCTTCTTTGAATAACTCAATCAGTATTCTACTTACCCTC